TTTTTTTTTTTTAAATGGTACCACTTTTTATAAGCATAAAAAGCCGTTTTCCATTTATTCCTGAAGTCCAAGGGCTTCAAGGTCTGTCCCATCTACATAGCACTCATTTTGGACACAGAAAATTGATTTTCCCAAAGTCTTTAAGTTGCTTTGCCTAGCTCTCTGATTTTCGATCATGTAAACATCTGAGGTGATCTGTACGATTGAATACAGGGGTGTACAATCCTGCTCCTGGAGGGCCACTGTCCTGCAGCTCCAACCCCAGTTAAACATACCTGTATCCAGTGGCGGCTCCTGCCAATTCTCTCAGGGGGGGCAAATGTTTGCATGATTAATGAGGATAGGTCACCCATTCAATTGATAAATTAACGGCTAGTTAAAGATGTCAAGTCGGATTGCTAACTAACTTCCAGGCAGGTATATTGGAGCTAAACTCTGTAGCGCATTGGCCCTAAAGGAGCAGGATTTAGCAGCCCTGATTAAATGCAATCCAAAGCTTTGTAGAAATGCATCTAAAAAGTCATACAAAGTCAGATCCATTAGACGTCAGGCAATGTCACGAGTTAATGTACACAGCATTTTGTCCAATGCCAGAAATGTCTGTAGCAAGACATGGAAATAAATAAATAAATAAATAAGAATCATGTAAGTACATATTTCTCCTAGCAACCTTGAAACCTTAATCATGCCAATCAAATTAATTACTCAGCATGACTCCAGTCATTCAATAAATCATAAATGGTTTACATTCAGAATAGGCATGTTTTAATGCTAACAGCCTCAAGGCAGATGGTAAACAGTCCAAATTGGTCTTCTAGGAGATTAATTGGTTCCAATGACAATAATAAAATGAATAACTTCCTTATAGACAAAGGAAGTTTTTCATCTGTCCTATGCAAATGTCATTGTGTCACAGAGTTAGAGGTTAGGAAGAGAATCAATAGATCTAGCATGCCTAAGGGCTGCTCTATTACTTAATTACCTCATTATGCCTGTGATGGAATATCAAAATGGCACTTCACCTGAAAATCATAATTCTGTCACTATTTAATCATTCACCCTTGTTCCAATCCCATTTCCTGTTATCTTTGTCCAGTGTAGCACAAAAGTACAAATTTAAAAGCTCTAAAATATGTCAGAACACTGACACTAGCTCACATTGAGGTCAGATCAAAAAGAAAAAAAAAAACACAGTTAAATGAAACAAATCTTCATATTTGCTTTTTTGGTTAAAAAAAATTTGAGTTTTGAATTAGATAAGAATGAGTAAGTACTGTCAGGGTTTCTGCAGGTCTTAAAAAGATCTGACATTTTTTGTTTGAATATGAGATGATGTTTGAAGTAATTAGTTTGAAGATGAGAATATTTTCTTTACATGGTCTAAAAAAAAAGAGGTCTTAAAAAGTCTTAAACTTACAATCATAAACTCTGCAGAAACCCTGGTAATGTTTACACATTGGTTACATATTTGAATTTTGAAATTATTATCGCATGATATCGGATATTTAATTGCACATGCTTACACTTAATTATACATTTAGATGATCTTTGTCATCATCTAACGCTCACTTAAAGTTAATGTCTAAAACATCACTACTAATGTGATAAAACTGTTAAATGTAATCTTGAGCAAATCTAAATATCCATTTTCCATACTGTACATTATAAAGTTGTGAAGCCTATCACTTGCAACATTTCAAATGATTGACTTGAGTTTGAGTTTTTAGTATCGGCCATTTATCGTTAATTGGCCACAACATGGAAATAATTATCAGCTTATCGCATTGGTCAGAATTTTAATCAGTGTATCCCTAGACCTATAAAATGTGAGCTTCCTCAGGAACAATTAAAAGGAAGCTTGGTAGAATGAAAAGGACATCGGTCTGAATGCTGCTGGTGCTCCTTGCTCAAGAAATTAATAGTTGAACCCCCACCTTCCCTCTTTCCCCCAAGGCTTGATTCAGGACAAAAGCAAAGCAGGTTGCCTTCAAATACCACCAGACTTGCCTTCAAATGCCACCCTTTCAGTCAGTGCCACAATGTCTTGGATAAATGAAACGATGTAGCTGAACCATGGATATGTGTTTCATTTGCAATGCACCTGCAACAGCATTAGACCCATTCAAATGTTTACATACACTGATCAGAGTAATTGGTGCATGTTAGTGTGCAGTTTATTATTGTGAAAGCCACTGTTTAAATGGTCAAACTGAAACCTGTGTTTTCAGACAAACATCCCCACACGTGAGCAGGGAATGAATGAGCTATGAAAAGCATTTACACAGCTGTTAGGATGAAGATGTATTACAGAGTGCTCTGTTTTTCCTCAGATGTACATCACATGCTCGGTGAAGGCCAAAGGGACACGGCTGGCCAAACCGGTGCTCTCTCTGGGGCTCATTTGTCTGGCCTTACTAACTGGGATTAATCGAGTGGTGGAGTACCGCAACCACTGGTCTGATGTCATTTCTGGCTTCATCATCGGAGGAGCCATTGCTGTCTTTATGGTGAGGTTCTTCTGTCACTTCTGACACACTAATAGTAAAGGTTCAAATGCAGTTCATATGCATACTTACGTGAAGATGCATACTTGTTGATTCATTCAGTTGTTGATCTTATTGAATTTTTTACATATGTGAATACTGAGTGATTTTAATGAACTGTTTGTGGTTATTTTGTGAGGATGCTTTTAATGATATGATGTTTCGTTATAGCAATACAGACTATGTATTAGACTATACATTATTGTTCAAAAGTTTGGGGTGGGTACAATTTTTTGAAATATTTTTGGAAGAAGTCTCTTATGGCTGCATTTATTTGACCAAAAATACAGTAAAAACAGGAATATTGTGAAATATTATTCCAATTTAAAATAACTGTTTTCTATATTAATTTATTTTAAAATGTAATGTATTCCTGTGATGGCAAAGTTTAATTTTTAGCAGTCATTACTGCAGTCTTCAGTATCACACGATCCTTCAGAAATCATTCTAATATGCTGATTTTGTGCTCAAGAAACATTTATTATTATTATTATCAATGCTGAAAGTTGTGTTGCTTAATATTCTTGTAGGAACCGTTTTCGGGATTCTTTGATGAATTAAAAGTTCAAAAGAACAGCATTTATTTGAAATAGAATGTTTGTGTAACAGTGAAAGTCTTTACTGTCACTTTTGATCAATTTATCACATCCAAGCTGAATAAAAGTATTAATTATTATTATTATTATTTTAAAAAGTATTGACCCCAAACTTTTAAACAGTAGTGTATGTAACATGGATAATGCGGCATAATTCATGAAGTAAAGTTTTACAGAAGAAATGTGACATATGGCTAGGTAATTAGGTCAGGCCACAGAATAGGGCACATGTGTAGCTTCCTCTTCAATAAAACACTACAGTTTGTGCTGTGCTGGGCACACTGTTGTGTAAAGAATGCACAGTGAAGATGAGAAACCCATTGTGAGCGTTAGAGAAGGGTCACACATCAGCTCATGCCTGCTTGCCTCACATTAGGCATAACAGCATTGTGAGTGAGTTTGTGGAAGCATGGATATTTTATTTTCTGTGGTGCTGTAGTCATACTGTACAAGATGTGCACTGACCTATTTCTGCTGTTTGGGTGGGTTGGGGGAGGGGGTGCAGGGAGGAAGGTGAATATAGCCATCAAACTCATGGTCAGATCAAATCTTATAATGCATCACATAAATGCATAGATGCATAAAAGGGAACAACAGCTTGTGCTTAAGTAAATGTATTGCAATACCCTTGCAAATGTCGGTCTCTCGAATACTTTAGCTTTTAATGTTGTTCTAGTGTACACTTTACAATAAGGTTCACAAATTCCCTTTATACAGTGGGTATAGAAAATAATCTTTAAAATAATTTCTGGCAGAGGGCAGCAGATTTTCCTCAAGAATTTGACTTCCCCATCCATTTTTTCTTCTATCCTGACAAGTGCTCCAGTCCCTGCTGCAGTGAAACACCCCCATAACAGGACATTTCCACCTCCGTGCTTTACTGGAGGGATGCTGTTATTTGGATGGTGAGCTGTATTTGATTTCCGCCAGACATATCGTTTGGTGTTGAGGCCAAATAGCCTAATTAACTTTTAGTCTCATCTGCTTCAGAATCTTCAAGGTGCAAAAGCTCAGTCATGACTACATGTGGCTTTTCTCGAGGAGTGTTTTTTTTCTTGCAACCCTCCCATACAAGCCACATTTGTGGAGAATTTGTGATATTGTTGTCACATGCACACAATGACCACTCTTTGTCATAAATTCCTGCAACTGCTTCAGAGTTGCTGTAGGCCTCTTGGTCTCTTTTCTAAACAGTTTCCTCCTGGCTCTTTCATCCAGTTTGGAGCTACGTCCTGATGCAGGGAGGGTTTGTGTTGTGCCAAATACCTTTCACTTCTTAATAACAGACTTCTAGGCATTGACAAAGCAAAGCCTTTGGAATTTTTTCATATCCATCTCCTGACTCGTGCCTGTTCTCAACTTTATCCTGGAAATCTTTTGACAGTGCCTTGCCACCCATAGTTGATTGTTTGCTTCAGTTGCACTACCAAGGACTGAAATGCTCCAGGAAAGCTCTTGTCATACTGAGCTAATCAAAATGACCACAGCTGATCACAGTTGAAAGTCAATTGGCTTTGTGAGTCATTGAGATTAGCTACACCTGATTGAGTTTACAAGTCATTTTTAGGAGGGGGTGATCCTTTTTCCAACTCTGTTTTTTATTTATTTATTTTTTATTTTTTTCTGATATGTTGGTGTTATAAGTTATCCAGAGTAAATATAGCTGGATAAAACAAACTGTGTCCGTCTTCATTTCAGGCTGCAAAGCAACAAAATGTGATTATTTTAAAGGGGGTGATTCTTTTCTGTACCCACTGTAAATACTTTGTTAGTAGCAAGTCATGTTAATAAACAGTCTACAAATATGAATAACATATCAATTGATGTTCAGATGGTTTCCACTTTAGAATTAAATTTACCAATAGCCCAAATCAGTGCCCAAATGGTGAATTAGCATTGTTCATAAACTTGTGTACATATGTAGTATAAATTAGCATTACAATAAATACATAAATAAATAAACCTATTTACTGCCATAGTTCATTAGTAGTTCATGTTAACTAATTAAGCTGTTAATGTGAAGAGATGCATTAGTATATGCGTAAGTTAACATTAACAAAAAATTAAGTAATCCTGAACAGTGGCGTTGTTCATTGTTAGTTCATGTTAACTAATGCATTAACTAATGTTAACTAATACAACCTTATTGTAAAATGTTACCTAAATTATTTAGTGATTCAAAAATACTCACTTCTATATTCACTCTTTGTTCTAAACAAATCATCATTTTGAATGAATTGATTGAGTAAATGATTCAGTGACCTATGTATTATAACTGGTTATAATTAGGCGCATTACAAGGTGCATTACAAGGCATAATTAGTGCATTAAGACTACATTTATAATGCATTATATAAAGGCTTTAAGTAAAGTGGTTAAGCCAACTATTGGACAACAATGTTCAGTACATCACAAAAAAAAAAAAAAAAAAATTTTATTTATTAGGCATAAAATGTATTTGACATGATCAACAAACAAAAGACAATGACAACAGAGCAGTCTCACACGAGTGACAGAACCTCTCAGACTGGCCCAGCTTCATCTTTATTGTTGAGCCCTGCTGCATATGGTTTATAAAATGGTAAGGGCAGCACAGATAATTAATTCACAGAAAATGAATTTCCTCCATCTGTTTAGTTCAAGGCTTTGGGAGTGTATAACACCCTAAGATGTCCTCTGCTGAAACTCCCTCTTGCGCTATGCTGCAGTCTTTCAGAGGCAGAGCATTGCCTGTAGTGTCTCATTGAAAGCATTCATTTTCGTCCGATAATGGATGAATCTCCTCCAGGACATGAACTTGCATGTTTCCTCCCTCCCGAAAGAGCACAGAGCCTTTTTACTTTGGGCAACAAGTCATGCGAGCATCTTTGCCCTTTCAAGACTTACATAAATCATCATTTACAGCCTGAAAAAAGCCATACATGTGTATGTGTGCTACAAAAAGCCTTTCAGAGGTGTAAAACGTTCCTCTTTCCTTTTGTTTTCCCTACGGGCGCTTTTGTGTTAGGTGGTGTGTGTGGTGAAACATTTCAAAGGGAAGCCCTTACTGGGTGAGATACCGCCGGAGGAGAGTGTGTCCAGTGGTCCCATGATCACTCAGCCCAGGATGGAGCACACTATGGAGAAATACATAGCGTCCCAGGTATTCAAACACAAGCATTCTTGTACACTAGAATGTACACTAAAAAACCTTGTTATTGTGGCCGGTTTCTAAAATTTCATTATTAACTGTACACTGTAAAATATTTTTCAAAGTTGAAAATAAAGATTTTCAAGCAGCAGTTCAGATTTTTGTATTCACTATGGTGTTTATCAAACAACACCAGATACAAGAGTATAAAGACACAAGATAGCAGGTTCTGGATTTTTTCTCTGATATTCGCTGTCACTTTGCAAAATAGTCCATTCGTAAGCGCAACTAAGTCGTAGTTTCATGTAACAGCAGCAGCTCTGGGCATGCGACCAAAAACATGAATCTGATTGGTTGGCCAGTTTTCTTCACAGTGTGATAGAATGGAGATTAGAATTAAAACCTTTAACGCACCAGTTTTTGTGCACCAAATATTTGTCTTGGCTGTTCACATCAACAACAATAACTGTAAAAATACTGGTAACGATAACTATATTAACATCCACACCAACGGACATTAACATTCTGTTTATATTAAGTGCGTGCTGCAGTTACTCTTTGCAAATTCTTTAAAGGTGATGGATTCTGATTGACTGTCATTATTTTTTTTCATTCATCAGCTGGAAAAAATCGTTCTGAAACTTATTCTGAAATTGATTCTAGCGACATTGTTCCTCTGTGCCAGTAACGTTACAGTTGTGGTGGGTGTGAACTTTGACTTTTATAGTTATCATAGTTACTGTCCCTGGTGTGAAGGGCCTTAAATCTAAGATGAGCTTCTTACATATGGCTCATACAAGATCGTTCATCTGCACTTGAAAAATGATCAAAACAACATTTCAGCTTTATGTGGGTTATTTTTTGACTTTGCCTGTGGCAGTTTTTAGTTTTTAACTCAATCTCAGTTCACTTCAGTTACATTTATAGAATAATAAAATACTTTTGATGACAGCCATCACATTGAACAGCCTTTGGATACTGAATATTATGTTCTGAATGTTAAATGTTCTTCCCTAGTAAATCCCATTATTTCTTTTCAGTATGTTCATTCGGCTGCTTTGCCTCAGGCAGGAATTTCTTCTATCTGTGTCACAAGAGATCAGAGTTAGTCAGTGGGTATATCTTCCAGTCTCGAAAAAAAAAAAGGAACATCTAGCTGAATATATCACTTCTACATGCTGATTCTGAACTAAAATGTTGGATTACACTTGCACACCTTTTTTTAATGTTGTTGTTTATTTCCAGGTTTACAAGCATATGATTTTAAATCCCATGTTTTCCACTTCACCTTCCATCCTCAATATCATCTACTGACTAATGTTTATACCTCGCTGTCCACAGATCAGATATACACTGCTGATAGTTTCAGTATTCAACACCATTGTTCTGCAGGGCTGCCATACAATATTCAACAGGTAGTTGGTCCCCTTGAGGTCATGAACCCACAGTCTGGTAGCAGATATTGTCACCTTTGAAGTCCATTATGCATCACAATCAACAGGAGTCCCACCCATTTTTGATTAATAGTTCAATATGACTTCCCAGGATTCATTTTGGATTCATATAAGGGTGAGCCCAGGGGCTCAGTGAGGCAGTTCATCAAGATTACGTGTAAGCCCAAGACATACAGTGTGCACCTGCAATGCATGGCTAGCATTCACACCACACTTGGTTATTTCAAGGCTACGTCATTAATCTTTAAGGTAGTTACAACATTACTTATCCCCACAGCCTTAGAAAAGTGTGCGCTAGGTCTTTAACTTCAGGTAGAAAAGCAACTCATACTCAAGTGACTTTAACACTCCAAATCTTTGAAAATCAAGTTTAAAACAAGTACCAAATTCTTAGGAATGTAATATTTTTAGTCACGTTGTTTTCATATGGTTTTTAATTTTTTATACCATTTATTAAGAAATTTTCAAATGAAAATACAGTAAAAAGTACCATATTTACCACATAATGTAACATTATTTTTACAACTTAATATATTTGCATTTCTTAAAGAAACGGTACACCCAAAAGTTTAAATTTAATTTCAATGTACTCATCCTGAGGCCATCCAAGATGTAGATGAATTTGTTTCCTCATCAGAACAGATTTGGAAAAAAATTAGTATTACATCACTTGCTCACCAATGGATCCTCTGCAGTGAATGGGTGCCGTCAGAGTTCAAACAGCTGATAAAAACAACACAATAATTCACAAGACACCATGTGGTTAAATAAAATGTTTGTGATATTATGATATTAGGACAGTTGTATCACCCTGACATTTCAGAGCTTATGCTGAGAAATATTTTAATTCAGACATCAAAAACATGGTCAGCATGTCATATTATACAGTACACCTCATATTGAAATGATTGTATGTATGAATTGTATTTTAATTAGGGCTGTCAACGTTAATGCGTTAACACATGCGATTAATTTTACAATACTTAACACGTTAAAATAATTTAACGCAATTAAGGCAAAATTACTGAAGCACAATTTCTATTCTAACCCTTTAACCCAGTTTTGCTTCTCTGCTTGCGATCAGATCATTTTAAGCCGCTAAACTTTCAGTCCAATGATCCAGAAAGTGAATGCATTCAAACAATCCATCCAAAACAGCGCTAATATAAAGGAAACCAGGCTGATTACATCAGAGATTACAGAGAGAGTGAATTCATTCCAGTGTGTTTCGCTTTTAAACACGAGCTCTGTCATATTCTGTGATTGTCTCTGAAGAGCACGAGCCCTCACACGTCATGCTGTGTGAAGTACAGACTGAACGGATTGTCAACACAACACATACAAACTATGTTTTCTCGACTGGATAACCAGTGTCTCACTAATAAAGTTTTGATGGATGAAGACCGCAATCAAGGTAAAGTTGCTTGCGGTGGCGTAGAGGAGTCGTACAGTAAGCACGCGTGAGTCTGTTATAATCATGCGTGTATGAGCTGATGCACTGATCGCACATTGTATTTATGCACAGGCACAGACATTTCCGTACATTCACGTTGTTTCCACACACATTCGCGATAATGTTTTGATTTGTCATGTGTATGTTGCTGTGTTTAGTTATACAGAATGAATCCGTGTACTGTAGGGAGATATGTGCAGTCAGCAGGCGGTTGGTTTAGGTTTTTTTTTGGCATCTCCATGTGGTCCTCTTCGGTATCGCAACTTGGCTTCACTAAAATGTAAAAAAGCTCTTTGGTGTTGCACTGTACAGCAGGTCTCCAGGCATGCTGTGGTTTGCACGGATGCCTCAACCACCGGCTGGGGGCCACGTACAATGGGCTTGCAGTGTCAGGGGTTTGGACGGGGCCCCAACTGCACTGGCACATCAACTGCCTCGAGTTGCTGGCAGTGCACCTTGCCCTGAGCCGTCTCAAAGGGCGCTTACGAGGCAAGCATGTACTAGTCCGCACGGACAACACAGCGACCGTTGCGTACATCAACCGACAAGGTGGTCTGCGCTCCCGTCGCTTGTCGCAACTCGCCCGCCACCTCCTCCTCTGGAGTCAGAAGCATCTGAGGTCGCTTCGTGCTGTTCACATTCCTGGTCTGCTCAACCGGGCAGCCGACGAGCTGTCCCGAGCTGCGCTCCCGGGAGAATGGCGACTCCATCCCCAGACGGTCCAGCTGATTTGGAGATGTTTCGGAGCCACTCGGGTAGACCTGTTTACCTCTCCAGAAACCTCTCACTGCCAGTTGTTCTTCTCCCTGGCCGAGGGAACACTCGGCATGGACGCACTGGCGCACAGCTGGCCGCGGGGCCTTCGCAAGTATGTGTTTCCCCCAGTGAGCCTTCTTGCACAGTTGCTGTGCAAGGTCAGGGAGGACGAGGAGCAGGTCCTGTTAGTGGCGCCCTATTGGCCCACCCGGACCTGGTTCCCGGAACTAATGCTCCTCATGACAGCCCCTCCTTGGCCGATTCCTCTGAGGAAGGATCTACTGACTAAGAGACGGGGCACCCTTTGGCACCCACGCCCAGACCTCTGGAAACTTCATGTCTGGTCCCTGCGGGACGCGGAGGTTCTAGGTGACATTCCCCAAGAGGTAGTTGACACCATCACTTTAGCGAGAGTACTGTCTATGAGACATGCTTACGCTTTGAAGTGGAACCTGTTCGTTGAGTGGTGTTCTTCTCACCGAGAAGACCCCCGAAGATGCCCGATCAGAGTCATGCTGACCTTCTTGCAGCACGGGTTGGAGCGAAGGCTGTCTCCCTCCACCCTCAAAGTCTATGTCGCCGCGATCGCTGCTAACCACAACCCCGTAGAAGGGAAGTCACTGGGGAAGCATGACCTGATCATCACATTCCTTAGGGGGGCGAGAAGGCTAAATGTTAATGTTCCCAATGTAAATGTTCCCACTACTACCTTCAGAGATCAGGTGGTGAGCCTGCAAGCGCTGCCCCCGGAGGAGTATATGGTCTATGCTTAATTTCGTGAAGTGTGCAATTAATCGCGATTAATCACAGAAAAAGGGTGTGATTAATTAGATTAAAAATTTTAATCTATTGACAGCCCTAATTTTAATGTTTTTAAAAAAAATTATTTTACAGATTCAGACAACAAATGAGTGTGATGTAATTAGCCTAGATGTTAAACTGTATTTTTTGTTTGATTTTCAGAATCCCATCACCTATGCTGAGATCACATGACAATGAAAAGCCCACTAGCCAGAATGCTGTGGATATGTTGCTGCTCTCCGATGCGACTTTTTACTTTGAGTCCAATGTCAGTATGTGCTTTTTACACTTCTATTTTCAAGTGTGTGGAAAAAGTTGTCTATACCTTGTCCTACTTTTTTTTTCTTTTTTCTTTTTTTTAAATACTGTAGTTAGGGTAGGGTCGCATCCCTACTTTAATTCAAACATATTACTGTTAGCATTTTTTTTTTGTGGTTGAATATACAGGGTATGGAGTGAATGTGGAAATGCAACATGATGTCCGATGAAATGTATAATGTATACCATATCCTGATGTACAATTTACAACTGTGAGTCCATTGTTGAATTTTGAAGAGGTTTCTGTCTGACAAGAATTATTGCTGTTGATCCTCATAGAAATCAGCTTCTTCTATGATTTTGTCTGATGCTGGTTTTGTAATTCTTTCTGCCTGCCATAACATATCACATCAACACAACACATTTTCAGAAAAGCAGACTGTTTCAGCGTTGCATCAGATTTTATTCTATGTATTTTAAAGCATGTTTAAATCGCCAATAGGTTTTAGTTATGTTACAGTCATGAATTATGATTTGTACTTGCTAGTGGAAACAATATTGTGGGAGGGTCATTTTCATTCTAGCGAGCATCTGATTGGTCAAAACCCAGTGTAGTACAGGATGAGTCATCAATATTTTTGTTCAGATTTCCAGAAATTTATAGTAGCAAATACATGGTCTCAATAAACTTAAAAAACTCCGTTTTTGATTTCACAGGATCTTTAAAGGGGGCTGATGTGGGCATGAAGTGATAAGCAGAAATAATTATTGATTTTGGTGTCATTATGGCAGAGCACCATGGGCAGAGCTAATGGATTTAATTGTGACTGGCAATTGATTACAAGACTCACAAAGATTAGATGCTGAGGCTTTTGCCCAAAGAGGCTGCTAGGTTGTGTATGAAGGATCGCTTTGTGTGCTTTAACGTTGCCAGTGTGTGTGTGTGTGTGTGTGTGTGTGTGTGTTTGTGCTTATTTGTGAGTCTGCCCTTGATGTCGCCTCTGAGAGAACGCAGTCTCTAGTGGCTTAGAGAAGGCCGTTTGTTTTCTTGGCAGAGCTGGAATAATACCTGTACCTGTGAAAGAGAGAGAGATAGAGATGGAAAGAAAGAGAGGATGGACCTTCATTGTATGGAAAACAGTGTATCTCAGTCGGTTCACACAGATATAATGGCAATATTTGCATTGGGATACATTTGCGTTTTCATAATCATATGTGTTTTTATTGTATCAGACCTCACAGCATCTAAGGTCTGCAGTGTTTGGTTGAATTGATATTCTGCAAAGTTTTACACCATACTGAGCATATGTTTGATCTCTCACTGGCCAATGATGATATTTGATTTTCAAATTCATGCTTGAATACATTATTAAATACCATGTCTCCTAACGATGTAAATCATTTATCCAATTCATCTCACTCATGTAGTAGTAGTGCTACAGAACATCCTGAACCCTTTTATGTCCAGTGTTTGTGTCATTAGTTGATGCTTCCATCATGGAAAGCTTGTTGTGAATATAACTTTTTAGAGAGTTTTTGGCTGGCTCACTGAGGGTTTTGTAAGGCACTCTTTGTAAAACTGCTTTGTGATTGTCAAAGTGCTATATAAATTTAATTTACAATTATTCGGAAAGAGCTACGGCATTACCTGCACATTGACTTTAATTCAGGGTTATTTCTAGTGACAGTTGTGTGTTTTTTCCACCCAAAAGGGTTGGGAAAAAATGCACATTGGAATGGGATAAGAATATATGTTTGAGATTATGTTCCAGTCATGAAAGCTATTAGGTAAATCAACTCCACTCTAAGATTTAGTTTTTCCTAAAATAATTTTTTTTTTTTTTTTTTTTTAAAGCCTGAAATATTTTTTATAACCATACTGTATGTATGTTGGACAGCAGTGTTGATGGTCTGGCAATGACCTCAGAGACTGAATTGGAAAGGAAAGCAGATCTTCCCTGAGCCCAAGATGTCAAACAGTAATAAAATATTTACCCTCAGACTCACTGTCATTCTGTATCTTTTCTGTATTATGATTATATGATTTTTTTTTAAAATAATTTTTGCAATTTTTACAATATTTTAGATACATTTTCTTATTTTAGATGTATTTACTGTTTATTTACTGAAATTTACTGTTGTGTAAAAAAAAAAATGTGTTCATTAACGTCAGGGCAGGATGATATAGCTAAAATAAGAACCAAATATTTTTAGCCCTTTGACAATATTCAGTATATATCTTATTTATGCATTTGCTATAAAAATGCTAAAATGGGTGCTTTTTGTTAAATCCAATGGAATAGTTACATTTAAATCCTAGTTAAATTTAAAAAAAAATATATATATATATTTACAAAACAAATGTTGCAGGTTGTGAAATTTAGAGTTGACCTAAGACGCATTGGGAAACTTGATGATCAAAAACATAAAAATTATCTAAAAAAAAAAAAAAAACATCATGATGACAGTGTTAGTTTTATATTGGGGGGGAAATCATTAGTTATTGCATTTCATACAGCTGTTTAGCATGCAGCAAAAGAACTGTAAGATCAAAAATCTGAATGTTTCTAGTGATCTTGTTAATTAGATGCTGTTTCAGTACTTATGTTTCTTTGATGTCTTTAAATGTTTTAGTGTAGTTATCATCCATTTCAGTCAGGCTGGCCTTTTGTAACTATTACAGGGATGTGAGGTTCTTTACATTGCTCAAAATGTTACATTGCTAAGAGCTCTCAGTCTGTATCTGTCTTCCTGACAATAACAAACATTCACATCACATATGTTAAGATATGTAGGAAGATGTTGTTCGTTGGAATGCATGCTGTGTTTGTTCTGGGTTCATCAGTTCTCTGGTCATGTATCAGACACAGAGTGGCTGGTCCAAGCATAAGGATGCTGGAGTTCAGGGGTCTTCCTGGACTTCCTGCTTTCATCTCCTCCATTAATGGTGCTCATGTGTGGTGGGTGAGTCCCAGTGCCCACCACCTCCCCTGTACAGTGCAAGTCTCCCATGGACAAAATGTAAATTAAAAATGCATTGGATGTTTCAAATGACATTTCAAGAACTCTGTACCCAGGGGGAATCTATCTTGATTTAATTTCTGAAGATTTCATTCAGGCTTCTCATAAAATGAATTTAATTCAAAGGAAGGGCATCACAAGGGCATGAGTCATTGTTCAGATAAAAGAATGCAGAACACAGTGTATGAGACATTGAGATATATTTTAACAGAAACATTATTGCAGTATCTTTACATAGCACAGTTTTCATATTTACACTTCACAGTAATGTAATCGTGATCTTAGTGAGCGTTGTTTTTAAATTCCTTGGGAAATTGTCCTTCATTACTATACTTAAATATTATTTTGGGGAATTTGCCACAGACTACCACTGAAACTTAATACTTGTACTTTTAATCAATTAATGAAAATAAATACTTTTAATAACTAAAATTTAATTTAGACTTTCAAAGTACGAAGAACATATTTCAGTGGTCATATGTATTTTGTACATATATAATTGTATGTACACTACTGTTCATGTACACTACTGTTCAAAGGATTGGGGTTAGTAAGATTTTTTCATGTTTTTAAAATAAGTCTCTTATGCTCACCAAGGATGCATCTATTTGATTAAAAATACAGTAAAAACAGCAACATATTACTGTTTTCAATTTGAATATATGTTTAACTGTAAATTATTCCTGTGATGGCACAGCTAAATTTTCAGCATCATAACTCCAGTCTTCAGTGTCAAATGATTCTTGATAAATCATTCTAATATGCTGATTTGCTGCTCAAACTTTTATTATTAGTATCAATGTTTAAAATAGTTGTGCTACTTAGTTAGGTGAATAAAATCCTTGCTGAATAAAATCTTACTGACCCCAAAATTTTGAATATTAAAATATATTTTTTGTTTTACTAACCTAACAAATCAAATAATTCTTTTCTTTTCTTTTCTTTTCTTTTCTTTTCTTTTCTTTTCTGCCGCCTGTGAGAGGAGATCTCTCCTGACGGGAATCTCCCACAGAGCGCCGTCGAGGAGAGGAATCAGGTCTGAGAACCATACTCGGCCCGGCCAGAACGGGGCTACTAGCAGAAGATGGATTGTTTTACTAACCTAACAAATCAAATAATTCTTTTCTTTTCTTTTCTTTTCTTTTCTTTTCTTTTCTTTTCTTTTCTTTTCTTTTCTTTTCTTTTCTTTTCTTTTCTTTTCTTTTCTTTTCTTTTCTTTTCTTTTCTTTTCTTTTCTTTTCTTTTCTTTTCTTTCTTTCTTTCTTTAAACAAACATAATTAAAGAAGAACTTGACTCAAGTACAAACACGGTGAGTGTTCAGTCTATAAACAACAATATTAAAAAGTAAAACAACTATAAAATCATCTGCAATTGAATTTAATGCGGTACAAGTGCTTATGTCAGGTTTCAGGATATTGGTTTCAGTAAATATCTGGAGTGTCCAATAGAATCTAATATAGTCAGAATATTGAGAAAATGATCAAGAGAAGATTAAACAGGTTGCTTTGCAATAAAAAAAAACCCAGTTGTCTTCTAATTCAGTCAGTCAGTTTCAAAAGCTTAAAGTTTTTGTTTTTATATATTTGGAAGACATATTTGATGCCAAATTGGCTTACAGTTCATTCAAGCTGGAGATTTTATCAAAGTGTGCATTCCTTTGGAGTTCTGTCCATGACCTTGGCATTGCTAGTGCCAGGCTTTAGTGGTTTCAGGATATTGGTTTCAGTAAATATCTGGAGTGTCCAATAGAATCTAATATAGTCAGAATATTGAGAAAATGATCAAGAGAAGATTAAACAGGTTGCTTTGCAATAAAAAAAAAAACCAGTTGTCTTCTAATTCAGTCAGTCAGTTTCAAAAGCTTAATGTTTTTGTTTTTATATATTTGGAAGACATATTTGATGCCAAATTGGCTTACAGTTCATTCAAGCTGGAGATTTTATCAAAGTGTGCATTCCTTTGGAGTTCTGTCCATGACCTTGGCATTGCTAGTGCCAGGCTTTAGTTGTGCTACCAGA